CAATATAAGTACAGTCGGATGTTTATGTTAGCCTTTGGGGTTGAAAGGAATCAAAATGACCACATATTGCTTCCTAAAGAAAAAGAAAAATGGTTTTGCCTTGTGTATTTTGAAGATGATGTGCTGATTAGCATTGCTGTGTTGTGCTCTGGATGACCTTTCGGGCTTGTGTGTGTATATGTGTGTGCACATGGATGTCAACCACATAATTGACATCAGATGTCAAAGCTGGCATTGAAATATCTGGGTCGTATTCAGTTTAATCGAAACAGTTTCCACAAAACAATATTATTCATACAACCACAGCCAATATGCGACTTTGACTGTGCTGCAAAAAATCTTTCAGTATTTGTTGTGTATTTGTATATATATATATATATATATATATATATATATATATATATATAATTGAGGTAAATTGAATATAGTTTTTTAAGAAGGTTTATATATTGAAAGAAATGCTTCATACACACCATGTTGTGTTGTTTGGTGGATGTTATCATTGACATTTAAATCAGCCAATCAGAGTGGTGCCCTTTCAGCAGTGTGCATCCTTATTGGCTGGTAAGCTATGAGGAGATATAAAGATGATCTCAAATTGAAACCTGGCAGCACAGATTCATAAACTGTTATATGAGGTTCCAGGTCTTAAAAATGTCGTTCTCTCTGCTTTTTTCTTCACTCCCTTCATCTCTCCCCCTTCACCCTCTTCATTTCTCACATGTAAATGATAGTATTGTCTAGCGATATTTCCGTTGCTATATTAAATGAAGACACAGACGGAAATATCTCTTTTGGCCCAGTTTCAGCAATCTTTGTGCTTCATCTCTCTTCCAGCCCTTGGTTTTCTCTGCTTAATTGCCTCCTCCTTTGCCTTTTATCACTTTGTTTTCCTCCTCTCCCTCTCTCTTGCACGGTCTTTGTTCAGGGTGAGTAAACAGGTCTCACGGGGCTTCCTGCGCCCGCTCCATTCATTTAGTGATTGATGGAGCTGCACTCGCTCACTAACCCCAAACACCAGCCCCAACGCTGATACCATCTCGCATACAGCCCCCTGCTCATTCAAGTCCGTTTTTCCAGTTTCACTGAAACGGTTCTGCTCACAACTAATGGGTTAAGATTGGGTCTTTTTTTAACACTAAAATAGATTATAGTTTGCTTTTCTATTTAAAGGTGCACTCGTTATTTTTCCATTGAAAGTTTTACACAAAATGAATGCTGCAGGACTTTTTACAAATCTTTAAATTGGTAAACATTAGACCTACTGTAGCAGGCTGTACCTTATTTTTAAATTAAGAATGGACGCTCCAGTTTTTAGTTTGAATGTTCAGTGCTTCTGGTGTTAGCTACTGATATTCATTTTAGATGTATAAAAAAGCCTGTTGTTCTACTTGATATTGCAAACAGGTTTTTGTTATCACATTATTTTAATTTATTATCCTCAATTATTATCCTAATCATAAACACACTGGTTTGTAGAACAAAACATTTTACCATTTACTGCACTTTCTTATTCTTCTAGCTATTTTACCTATAGCAGCTATTGAATCGGAAGTCTAGTACATTCACAGGAGTAGCTAAATTCCACATTGTATAAGGTGGAATCTAAACAGCTGTTTTATTTCGCAGGTTGCCCCCTCATGATGTCCACCATGTTGAGATTGTATGGCCAGTCATGTCTTGCATTGTAAATGCATACTTCAGGATAATTCCTCTAGGTCTCACACTTTCCAGACAACATTATGTCGCACTTTAGTCAACCTGTGGTAACGTCACATAAATGTCAGGGGTGCTCCAGAGCTGGTGGGGGCAGCAGAGAGGCTAATGCTGTCATTTCAGACCTTTACAAAGACAAATAAGCCAGAAAAAATTATGTATTATGTATTATGCTTGGAAATGCATACTGCTATACTACTACTTTTAATAATACTAAAATGTGTAGTAGATAACAGAGTACACTTTGAGGAATGCTGGATCCTAAATATATATATATATATATATGTATGTAAAAATATATTTCTGAAAGCAATTATAACTGATGCCTCTTATGAAATTAAATATGCATGCAATGAGTCCATGTGACAAACTTAAAGGGATAGTTCACCCAAAAATAAACTTTGTCATAATTTACTCACCCTCATGTCGTTCCAAAACCATATGACTTGCTTTCTTTTGTGGAATATGAAAAGATATTTTGAAGAATGTTGGTAATCAAATTGTTTCAGTTCCCCTTAACTTACATTGTATTTTTTTGTCCATACAATCGAAGTCAATGGGAACCTGTTTGGTTGCCAACATTCTACAGAAAATGTTTTGTAGTGCAGAATGAAGAAATACAGGTTTAGAAAGATATGAGGATGAGTAAATTATGAGTAAATTATGACAGAATTTTTGGACTATGAGTGGACTATCCCTTTAATAATGTGACAACAATGCCACATATTACATAATGCATAATTTGTTTTTAAATACTAAGCTGTATTAAGTGTATACTAACCAAAAAAACAGTATGGTAGTATTCCATTCCAAAATAGCCAAAATTATTTTTATTGGTGATGGGAATTTTTTTTTGTTGAGCTGTAATAAAACATTCAAAGTAATCATGTTTTTAGAGGTAGCTCTTCCTATAAACCTCTTTAAACATGTTACTGGCTGAATCACATGCTGATGTATATGTTAGTGATCCACACTGACATTCTGTTTTGATCTGTCTGGTGCTCTGATCTGGAATCAGCCTTCTCTCAAGAGCTCATCAGCCAAAGCCTGCCATATGCATGACTTCAGGACTGTTTGAAGTCACATGCTAAAACAGCGCTATCGCAACTTCCCGTTACCTTCGGCACATGCTGAGAAATCGCAATCAGATTCTTAACCTTCAATCCAGCCAATCAGGTGCAGTCACAATGGAAAAATTCAAACGACATACAGAATTGCAAAAGCTGATTTTCTCTCTCTCTCTTCATTTCCGTTCTTCCTCTTTCCTTCCACTTCTGTTCCATGCCTGTATTTAATTTCACCCCTGGGTGGAGACCCTAATGAAACTGATTGGTTTCTTTTAGTTGACTTGGAGATTTCTTGCCAAGCGCTGATTTGCTCTGTATATCTCCTTAACCCTGAATGACCCCACTGTCTGTTTGCCCCTGGCAGCTGGGTGGCAGATTTGATAGGATTTAGATAAAGTCCACTTTGCATTTTAGCAGCCCATCTGTATTAGAAATGTGCCTGTTTCTTTGTGGTCCTGATGGGGTAAAAGATGAGATCATATCCTGATGTGTAAGACCTTAACGTGATGAATGCGAGTCTGTATGATATTGAATACAGTATCTATTTGACAACTAAATGCACATACAAGCTTTTGCTATGCACACTGCTTGTTGAACAGACTGATCAGTTACATCTGTCCTTAAGAATAAATGAACCATGTAAGTACACTTGATCACACTGAATGCAGTGTGTTTCTTCCATACAGAAGCAAGTCTGAAATATTGCATTGCAGTGATCCATGTATTTTTTGTTCAAAGACTATGTTGTTGTTTTTTGTTGTTGTTTTGTTTTATTTTGTTTTGCTTTGTTTTTGTTTAGCTTGCTTTTGTTTTGTTTTTGTTTGGCTTGCTTTTGTTTTGTTTTTGTTTGGCTTGCTTTGTTTTGTTTTGTTTTTATTTGGCTTGCTTTTTGTTTTGTTTTGTAAATTACAACAATTCATCTATGGACTTTTCAGTATATTTGACATGACATGATGACATTTTGCATTGTTGTTTTGTTTTTTGTTTGGTTTTGGCTTTGCTTCGCTTTATTGTTTTCAGAGAATTACGACAATCTATGGACTTTGCAATCTTTTTTGTGTATAAAATCTAATGTTTTCTGTTTCTGCAGTCCAATTCACCCACTGTGAAATATCATTGCTCCAAAATCTTACCTCACGTAACTGTTTATTTAACATCTAATAAGTTCAGTGTCATGCAGTAGTTTTGCGTTTATTCTGGACAGACAAATTGCTTGTCGCTAGAAACTTGTCATATCACACCTGGCCAAGACATGGTGTGACTGTGTGTTTTTGCTGAGAACCAGCTGGGATCATGACAGATTTTGAGTCTGTTGCAGTGCTTTGAAGCTCTCTGAAAATGTGTTGACAATTCTTTGTGCAAACATGTTAATGAGTGCTACTTTCCCTGTTCCTCTCTCTCTCTCACACGCACAGAGGTGGAGCAGATTGAAGCCATTGCAAAATTTGATTACATGGGTCGGACTCCTCGCGAGCTGTCCTTCAAAAAAGGCGCATCCCTTTTGCTGTATCATCGCGCATCTGAGGACTGGTGGGAGGGCCGACACAATGGGGTTGACGGCCTCATACCTCACCAGTACATAGTAGTACAAGACTTGTAAGTATCTAAATTAAATAATTTTTAATTTAATTATTTTTATATAGTCCTGGCACTAGTTACAGGACAGTTCAATACATGTTGCTTTGTGAAAGTGTTGCCCTCTGGGTAATATATGGCTAATCAACCAGGCCATCTGGCCTGAGTTCATACCGTAATAGCTCAAGTGAGAATCAAATAGTTCCCTCCATTAACACTTTAGACTTTAATTAAAATTTAACAGCACTGAGTGGCAGTTAAAGAATGTCCTTATGTCTGTGGCAGGGAACCTCTCTTACACTGAGTCTAATTGTGTTTCTGAAGCACCAAGCATTAGTGGTGCCTTAATGTGCTAGGAATGCATTTATGTCAAAGCTTGTTGGGTGCAGTGGGACATGACGTACTTCACTTCACATCACTGAGGTTAAAGTGAAAGTAAGCCGATCAAGTGTTCAGGGGCTTTCTGCTCCTATGTTACCGCTTTATAAGGTCTTGAGATAACATGAAAGTGCAGCGTCCTTGAGTTGACCATATTTATATCATCAGCTGTTATTAACTGTCCTACTGCTGTTTCAGTAATTACTAAAATGGTGACATGCTCATTATCTCTTTGTATGGTCTAACCGGTGTCAGTTTGATGAATGAGATTATTAAAAGGGTCAGTCCAAGCCCCATTCCTAATATTGCAAGATTTGACAACAGCAAATAAGGAAAATTTAGATTAATTCTTGAGATTAGAATTAAATGAAAAGAGACTACAGGTCACCGGTTACTCTACAGTAGAGGTGGGCAGAATGACCAAAATCTTGTATCACAGTAGTTATTTGTGTTGTAAATTCCACCACCAATTGCTTTATGTATGACATAACCATATAAAAATGTCTATTTTTAATAATCCAGTGATTTATCTACTTTAAAAATGAAAGGTACTTAAAGTTTGAGATTATGTGGGTTGCAAACTGCATGTTTCAATAGGAGCAAATTTCTGAATCCATGTTCAAACATCTAGTGGAAAGCCATACCAAAAGGATAGAAGCTGTTAGAGAGGATCAGCTTCCTGTTAATGGCAGTGCTTTTAAAATTAAGGTCCAACAAGCACATACTTCAGTTCATGCAGTGTGTTTAAAAGGCACTCCGAAAAATTAATTGCTGAAAGATTGCATAATGAAACATTTGGGCTGTAGACTTTTTCAGAGACTTTTTTTCCCTTGAATGTGACGTTCAACAGCTTCAGATTACCAAACACCTTCTGCTGTCGTCTCCCATGAGAACTGTAAAAGCAGCCCGAGAACATGCTGTGAAACTGTGATCAGTGGATGTTTGCTTGCTCAGGGCTCTGGGAATGAGACGTGAAGTGAGAATGATGCAGGGGCTGCTGGGACTGAAAAATAAGAAACTAGAGGTTTCTTTCATTGCCAGCTTTATGTACATGGATTTTTTGATGTGTGTGACACTTTAGCTGTTTTTTATTTTTTAATTTAGCAAGGACACATGAAATTAATCAAAAGTGACAGTAAAGACTTCTACAGTGTTACAAAAACACAGTGTTTTAAATAAATGCTGTTCTCGTGAACTTTCTATTCATCAAAGAATCCTGAAAAAAAGTAGCATCGTGCTGAGCACCAAATCTGCATATTAGAATAATTTCTGAAAGATGACAGAAATCATGTGGCACTGAAGACTGGAGTAGTGGCTGCTACAGATCTTACAGAGTAACCGGAAGGATTTTTGTATCTGTCTCTTTAGGGATGATGCGTTCTCTGACAGTCTGAGTCAGAAGGCTGACAGCGAGGCCAGCAGTGGACCTTTACTGGACGATAAAGCCTCATCTAAAAACGATCTGCAGTCCCCATGTGAACCTTCACCTGATTACAACTTTGTCGGGGTCATGGGCCGGTCAGTGGCTGATTATTCAGGATTCTGCTTGTATTTATTTCACATATTTTTGTCCTCAGGAAAAAATTATGATCTGAATTAAAGTGTGTAATCTTGTCCTGTTTCTCCTTGCAGCTTATTTACTTACTCTTGTTCGGCTTGTTTGTGACACGAATATTTAACTACATTTTTTTACTCTTATTTGTAGTCTGCTTTGAGATAAAAACAATGGTCAAGGTCTGGATTTAAGTTTTTTTGCCATCTCATTGTGTGTTTATGCAGGGTTAGGTTGCGTTCAGACGGGTCTGCCATTCCTCGGCGCCGCAGTGGCACTGACTCTCACAGTCCTCCCCGAGACACACCGCCGCGGGCCGCTGCCTGTCCCAGCAGCCCCCACAAGGTGGTGGTCAGTAGGGGCCACATAGAGAGTCCTGAGAAGAGGCGTTTGGGAACCTTTGGCAGTGCAGGCAGCATTAACTACCCTGAGAGAAAGGTCTATCCTGAGGGTCACCCACTCAGGCCTGTGCCAGGAGCAACAAGACACAGCAGCCTAGGAGACCACAAGTCCTTGGAGGCTGAGGCTTTAGCAGAGGTGGGTGTGTATGTTTATGTGTGTGCATGTTTTTAGATTCTCATTAAATTTCACGGTGTTGTGTGTGTATATATACACTGGAGGTCAAACGTTTGAATTAAGAATTTTGAATGTTTTTGAAAGAAGTCTCTTATATATTGACCAAGGCCCTAAGTTTGTTTCTGTGTTGGCAAAGCTGAATTTTCAGCATTATTACTCCAGTCTTCAGTGTCACATGATCCTTCAGAAATCATTCTAATATGCTGATTTGGTGCTCAGGAATCATTTCTTTTAAATATCAATGTTGAAAAAGTTGTGCAGCTTCATATAAAGAAAAAAAAACTTTTATTCAAAAACAATGCATTAAATTGATCAAAAGTGGCAGTAAAGACATTTATAATTTTAGAAAAGATTTCCATTTCAAATAAATGCTGTTCTTTTGAACTTTCTATGCATACAGTAAAAGAATCCCCTCAAAAAAGTATCATGGTTTCCACGAAAATATTATGCATTTTTTTAGATGCTGATCTTGATGCATCAACTGTTTTCAACATTGATAATAAGAAATGTTTCTTGAGCAAATCAGCATATTAGAATAATGGTTAGTGCAGTGGCTGCTGAATAGTCAGCTTTTCCAAATACATTTTGAAAATAGAAAATTATTTTAAATTGTAATAATATTTCACAATATTAATATTTTTAATGTATGAATGTCTCTGCATTGTATAATAAAATATACAATCAGTGACATTTGTATTAATTTTTATTTTTTGTTTCAAATGAAAAAATAGTAGGTAAGTTGTAGATACCATTAAGGTATTTAAAAACAAAGTATTTGGAAACTTTTTTTTCTCATTATTTTCTTATTTTACTGTATTAAAAATTGTGTTAAAACATTTGTGAAAACGAAATTGGGTGAAAACAGTGCTTTTAGTTGCATATAAAAATAATAGCACCTTTCCTCAATTGCTATTTGAGGTATCATACAAGTCAAGGCTTACACTGCAACATTTTGGGAAGAAAAATAATATGCAAGCACCAGTAATTATTCAAAAAAATCATAAAATATTTTTAGATTAATTATCATAATGTAATTAAATCACCCTGATTTAAATAAATGATTTTTTAAAAACATAATTTGCTATTGCTGAGATCAAACATTCAAATATTCTCAGTAAGTGTACCATTAATCTTCTTATATTTTGTACCCTTATAAATCAAAGCTCAGAAGGATTGAAAACTACTTTTAAGTTGTAGTCATGAAAGCTTTTTGGTCTCTCTCTTGAGCCTTGCAATTAGCCTAGAATTCTGTGAGGCTGAAGAAGCTGGCAAGATTTAGTTCAGCAGAAACAAAGAGCTGGCACTAAAGCAGATATCAGCATGAACGGGATAGGCTGGCACTGATCCATGTGTTTCATTTGTGCACGGTTAAATAATGAAGTCTGACACATGGAACAGTTAATGATCTTTTGTAATGGCCCCTTTGTGTCTACACTCACCTAATGAAAAGAAAATGGCTTATGTGAATACAGACATCAAAATGAAGGCATGATTGATATTGTTGATATTGATATTGAAATGTGTTGTTTTGTATATTGATAATGCATTATAAGCACAGACTGCATGATCTGATTAACATCAATGCTTGTTGTGCAGTTTGGGAAATGTGTGT